CTACGCCAACTTGTCAGGCTACATGCCCACAGTAGACGTACAAATCAAATTATCAATGCATTGATCAAATTATCAATTTATTTGTTCTAAATTTCATCTGATTATTTCATGATGTGGTGTGGACTTAACATACCCAACTGTGGAGTCGTGTAGGAAATTTACAAGTCTACGAACATAAACCAAACATGTGACAAAACAATTCACAAGAATATAAGTACAATACTGTAACACTTCATAGACAAATCAGTAAAAGGAAGATGTATGGATTCAATGGTATAATGAAGTGATATCCTATTTTTTAAAAGAGTGAGCATATCCTGTTCCACATTTATCATAAGTCATAGTCGAATAGTTTCTGTAAGAGACCTGACATCTACATCATTTTCATAAATATTTTATTACAGTTACATTAGGATATTACTCGTAACTGTGGAGGAGTGTGTATTCAATATATAGTTATAACATAGACATTTCTGCCATTACTCAGTTGCCTAATTTTATTTCGCTCTCAATATAATTTAGTCCTGGTTGATGTCGAAATCTAGACTGCCCAGCCGTGTGGAATTTAATGTTTAGATGTCAATTCTTTCTTTTTTTATTTTAAATCTTATGCACCAACAACAGAGATTTTATAAATTCGTTTTTAAAATGAATTATCATATAAAACAATAACATCTTCGTGGTTGTCTTATAACTTTGATGTGTGGTACGGAACTTGTCGGGGAGGGCGCTTCTGTTTTTGTTTTTATTTGCTTTTTGAGACTCTAGAGGGCGGTATCCTATTAATAACAACATGGCCGCACACACGGACGGAAGCATGTCCATTCAACAGCAGGTCGAATTTCATCGCAAAATGCGACGTAAAGCAGATCTTGAGAAGCAAATCAAAGAATGTAAAGTTTTAGAAGTCGAATTGGGTTCACTGAAGAAGGACAAAGTAAGTGTAACCCGTTTTTAAATTGAATTGCACACGATACTACTTGCTTCAGTTTTAGCTTAGCCCCGATCGGCCTACATGTACAATGTTTGCTGCAGTTTAGCAGCTCTTATTGGCCGCTTAAGCTATTTTGATATTACGTTGCGGCCATCCGCAACGTATACCACGACTGAGAGAGCTGCATAAACTGCAGCAAGTACAATGTATGTTTCTTGAGGGAAAGGAATGTAATAATAATAATCATCTTTATTGTTATCGTATCCTCTATGGGACTTTGATTGAAGAATACAATAAAGGTATAGCAATAAAAAAATGTAGTTAATACACCGTTGGGGCCTGACGATCTATTCGTGTGGTCTGACATGGACGCCTGTGGGGTGGAACGAATGTGTCCCGCTACATGACTTTATTGTTGCTCAAAATAAAAGAAATAATAGAATTGACACAGTTTAGTCCTGTAATGCAAGTCGCTAATTTTAAAGGGCGGCAGTCGCCGTGCCGCGTCCTGTTCGATATGGGACTCATAGCGACGTATACAACGCGTGTAAAATGCATTGTTTATTTACATGAAATTCGAACACGCGCTGCGCGACGACCACCGGCGCGCTTTAATCATCTGCGCTCCGAAACTCCCAAAATCACTAATGTCAGATTAGCCTGCACTATACTACTTCTTGATTAGTATGGAATAGATCATCATGCCCATTTGAGATAAGTATTCAGAACTTTTTGTTTACACATTCTGTTTTTCAATATGTTACATGTATTTAAATATGAAAAGACAAAGACAAGACAAGAAAAAAATGTTTCCAATCATTTTTTTTACGTGGGTGCCTTTTTATTTTAATTTTGAAATTGTTATTAAATTTTGCTTTTATTATTATTTGATTTTT